TTCATTTTCTTCCACCATAAGATCATTATTTAATAATTCTTCATCTTGTTTTTCATTAGGCGTTGCAGATTTAACTTGTTTTGAAAGAGCGACATCAACTTTATTAATTTTAAATATTATACCAGCAACGATATAAAATCCTAAAGCCCAACAAAAAACAACTATTACGGGTACTGTAATCCAATTTTCCCAAAACCCAAGGTTTTCAATAATATATTTCCCTTGATACGCTGTACAGCTTTCTGGATCTTGTGAAGGACAATCACCAACAAACCCAGTGAATTGATTTGCAATTAAAGCACCAAATCCATACCATACATATGCTATATATTTAGTCCAACGAACATAAACAGGCATGGTCTTAGCATTAACAAAATAACCACATGCCATACTTTGCAATGTATAATTTAAATTTGAAATTAATGAAGCATTTGCAAAACTTCTAGATATGGAAACTGCAAACATAGCACCAGTCATTGAAGTTTCATGAACAAGAAAAATTACTGCAAAATAAATGAAAAATTTCTTTGCTGTATAAACAAATCCAAACATAAAATAAGTAGTTAACGAAAAAAACAATGGTGTTATAATATCTTCAGTGAGAAGTTTAGCAATTCTTCTTGATGATAGAAATCCCATAATAGAAACACAATTATCTGATCTTTCTCTATCATATAATTTAATATCAACAGCTGTTAATCTATAAACTTCAAATAATAACATCAAATAACCTTGAAGTGAATTTGCAGAATAAGCAGCACCTGTCATTGTTCTTATACCTGATAAATCGTGTTTTGGTTGTCTAAAGACCCAACCACAAATAATACCCATGAAAATAGCTTCAAAAACCATTGATAACACGGTTGTATAATCTCTTATTGTTAATAAGAAAGTTCTTTTTGTCAATATAGTAAGCTCTCTGAAAAATGGTGCTCTTTTAGAAGTATTCAATTTTTTATTGAAATTTGATGTTATTTTGGGTTGTTTTTGCCCGATGATTTCTTTATCAATAATTGTTTTTTCAAACAATTTCCAATGTGTTATGAGCTTTATTAATCTTTGCCTACTTTCTTGTTCTGCTTTATTTGTTCTTATATCAACAGCTGTTATATCAATTAAAAAATCAGCAGGATTAACATTTTCTGGAACATAGAAACCTTGATCAGCAAAATAATCTAAAACTTTATCAACTTTATATGAATAAACAGTTTTACCTTGTGACAGGATACAAAGGTAATCAAAGAGAAAGAAAATATCCGATCTTGGTTGATGTATACTAATTATGATTGTTCTTCCTCTATTTGCCAATTGTTTTAAAGTTTTAATTAGTAAAAATGCTGAATGTGCATCAAGTCCAGTTGTTGGTTCATCTAAAAAAAGTAAAGAAGGATTTGAAAGAATTTGAATACCAATACTTAATCTTCTCTTTTCACCACCAGATAAACCTTTATGAGTTGAATCACCCACAAGTGTGTTTGCACAATCTTTTAATCCCAATTCTAAAATGACCTCTTCCACAAGTTTTAATCTTTCTGATTTATTTGTAGAATCTGGTAATCTTAAATCAGTAGCATAAACTAGAGTTTCTCTTGCAGTTAAGTTAGGCGAAAGAATATCTTGCTGTATAACATAAGCATTTCTGACTTGTTGTAGATTTTTACCACCAAATGAGATTTCACCTTTTTTGGATAATGTTGATGAAGATGATCTATCAGCCAAAACATTTAATAATGTAGTTTTTCCCGACCCAGAACCACCTATTATAGCCATCAATGAACCAGAGGGTAGATCAAATGAAGTTTCATCCAGTATAGTTTTATAAGCAACTTGTTGTTCGATATCATTTTTCCCATTTGTCTTTCTAAAAGGGTTTATTCTTTGGAATTTGTTCTCCAACCTAGCGGATATGTTCAAATCACGAACCGTTACTGGTACAGGTTCTATATTGATGAATGATAAGCTGTAGTGTTTCTCTGTGACATTGTCTCCATCTTCTGGCGTTTGAACCGATTCGTAACTCTGTATCAAGGATGTTTGAGGTTCCAACTTAATTGACATTATCCACAAATACTATCCTTTAAATAATGCAGGAAATTCTGTTCACAAAAACAAATTTAAAAACAATAGATAGCCACAAACAAAAAATAAATTTCAGTATATGTAATTAGCAAATTTGAATATGAAAGCAGTGGCGATGAAGCCTGTGAATGTGAATATGGAAACCAAGGTCAACCGTCAACCCTATTGTAGTTTCATTCGGTGATTGAATTGTTAATTAAAGAATGCGAGATTCTTTTAAACTGATTAACCGCTGAAGATTTACGAAAACTAATTTGGCTCGTTTTCATCCGCGCACGCCAATTACGAACAATTACAATAGGTACTATAAATAATATTCAAAAGTAATACGAAAACCAAAGATGAATATTATATGAATTATCATGGGCTCTAAAATTTATATATAAATATTGAACTATTTCATAAGCTATCACCTCAATTATAATAATGCATATAAGTACCTGATTTACGGCCTAATTATAATTAAGTTAAAGAATATGGCCAAACTAGACCAAAGACTCTGTCGAAATCATGATTCTGGAATATATTATATATGAATATTAAAATGCGTTATGCGCTATATATATATGGTTAAAAGACGTGCCAAAAACAGTAGCGGCTGTGTATAATATCTTCTTCTTTGTACCAGCTTGGATGTGGAGTTCCTCTAGACCATTTATATAGCTCTAATTGATTACCGCGATAATATCATAGGTCGGAATTCGAATATACGCGGTTAATAGCATAAAAGTTATAACCCGTGAGTTCATTTAAAAATCGACCTCAGAAGGGAAACATTCAGAATAAGAAATCTCCCTAGCAGTAGAATGCTCAAAAATGAGTTAACAATGAAACATAAAAAGTTCAGCATCTTAAAAACTGATTGACACTCACACGTGACTATTCATTTCCGAGGGCTTCTCGAATTTCGCGGATTCTATCAGAAAAACCCAAGATCAGCTTTTCAAAAGCAGTTTAAAACCTGTGTTTTAGCGTTTTTGGAATAGCTCGACAACGAAGGAAGCGGTTGAAGAGAGTATAGGCTCATTTGAAGGAGAACAAACTTGAGCAAGAGTACTTGCTCTCAGGGATGTTGTAGCGAGTTTAGTGAGGGAGCTATTACGGATCTCGCGCAAAAATTAGCGTAGAATTGAACACAGAAGTGTATAGGGTTAGTGAATGGCACCATTCGATTTGCAGACACAACATTGCAATACAAATTTCTTCTCTCAAGAGTTGATATTATACATTTGCGTAGCTATGATGAAGATGGTGTTTGGTACTGTTTCTGTGTACTCTAAATTTGTTCGCGGGTTTTGTCAGAAAACCCAAGATCAGCTTTTCAAATGCATTTTGAAACCTGTGTTTTGGGTTTTTTTGGAATAGCTCAACAACGAAAGAAGCGGTTGAAGAAGATGTAGGCACATTTGAAGGGGAACAATTTTGTTCAGATGTACCGACTCTCATAGATGGTGTAGCGACTTTAGTGATGGAGCTATTGAGGATTTCGCGCGATTTTTGACGCCAAATCGGGGCATTATGTGTATGGGCTTAGTGGGTGGTACCATTCGATTGCCAGACACAACATTACAATGCTAATTTTTCTTCTTGAGAGTTGATCTTATAAATGTGTGTAGCTAGAATGGGGATGGTGCTTGGTGTATTGTGTTTATATTCAGAGTACAAAGATCACAAATGAATTGAGGGATTGAGGGTTGAGGGTTGAGGGACTCAACTTATAGGCATCTACATATATACAATCACCAAATTAAAGCAAACAGGATCAGATTCGATAATTGGTACGTTTTGTATAGGGACTACATTGATTTTACTCCCTCTATATTAATGTCGACGTGTAACATTCCTGAATTACCTGCATGATATGATCAAATTATCTAATTTTCATTATAAATTTTAATTAAATATTGAATTAATGTAATTTCCTTTTGTGTAATTATATTTTGAAATTTAGCAGCTGATCTTTGGTATATGAATATAATCAATTAATACATTAGCCGCCGTCAAAATGTATTTAAACTCATGAAAATCCCCTCAAGCTGGTGATTTGAAATTTCAAATTTTTATTTATTTATTTAAAATTATCAATTAACTATACTTCTTTTGATCTTATTTGCTTTTTTAAAGTGAAATCTAGGTATATTTCAAAGTCAATTATATAATCTAGTGTTTCGAACCATTTGTCGAACGTCAATTTATTGAGACAGCTTATTTTAGATTGATTATATATAGAATTGTCGTTTTCATTTACGATATTTGTTAATATATATTAAATATTTATATATAGGTTAGCTATATAGATCTCCATAATCGATATAATATTGTCGATTTGGTCTATATCTAGTGAACCTAAACTTTGTTTTCAAATGTTCTTTTCGAATATTTGTAGATACTAATAATTAATACATATAAACAACCATGCAAAATCCTTCAATATAGCGGTAATTAAAATTCTAAACAAAAATTCCATTAATCATACATAAAATACATCACTTTGACCTTCAGTACTCCAATGGACCATTCTAAACATTTTATAATATTTGGAGACTGATCCATATATTATTTATATCAAGATATTAAGCTAAAAGTCGAGACTCGAAACACACGTACGACGTTGTAAGCTTTTTACACAAAGATTTCAACCAAAATGCAAACATCATATATAATAGACAAAGGATTCTAGCAATTACATAAATGATTTATCTAGTAATAACTTTGTTAAATTATCCATAACCAAATTCTATCCAACTCCGATTAATCCATTACTTTTGAAAAGCCCCCAATGCCTACAAAAAATCAGTTTCGCGCATGATTTTGGACAACACCTTTCAAAAGGAAACTGAACTCGATAACAACCAAACAACCAAACCTGGAAAACCAGAATTGACTAAAAACAAATTGACAGAACTGTTTTAAAATAAAGGATGAGTAAAAGAAACCAAAAAAGAATTGAACATGAATTAAAAGATTTGATCAATGAAAGATCAAATTCTAATAAATGTGGTGAATGTGGAGCTGGATTCCCAAGTATGTACCTTTTTTTTGATTGATTTATGGAAACAAATAACTAACTGATTTTAATAAGCATGGGCTAGTGTGAATGTATGTCATTAAGTCACTTTTGTGAAGTTTTCGAATGGTGGATTACTAACTAGATGTTTTCATAGCTTGGTATCTTTTTATGTGGAAGATGTGCTTCATTACATAGGAAATTAGGATCTGATGTATCAATTGTAAAGAGTTTATCATTAGATAAATGGAATGAAGAGGATTTAGATGTATGTATCATGTATTGTTTATGATATAGAATTTCAACTAACATTATGATTAAAGCAATTATCAAGAATTGGGAATAAAAAAGCTAGACAATTTTGGAATCCTAAAAAAGTACCATTCCCATTTGATGATGACGATAAAGAGTATGTATTAACAATGAACTTCAAGATTATATCTATATACTAACACAATTTCAGTGAAATATATCAATATTTAAGACAAAAATATCTACAAGGTAAATTTCGTCATGATCCAATTGATGAACAAGATTATAATCTTGGTGGATCAAGTTCAAGACCAAGATCAAGAGCTAGATCTATATCAAGACCTTCATCAAGACCAAGTACTTCATCAAGAAATATTCCAAAATTAAGTCATAGAGATATCTCAGAATATGATAGATTAAAATATAGAAAACAAGAACAAAAATTAGAGGACCAGGGGTTTTCCAATGTGGATGATAATTATGAAAGTTTATATTTAGCAAAAGGTGATTTTAATTTAGCTATAGATATTTTACAAAATTCTGGTCCATCTGTTACAAATTCCCGTGATGAAGGTCCAAAACCTGCATTACCAAGAAGACCAGGTACTTCAGTCTCATCAACAGGAGGAGGACCTTCACAATCAATTTCACAACCAGCTACAGCTTCATCAGATTGGTGGAGTGGTAATAATAATGGATCTACAACACAACAACAAATTGCAACACCAGCAATATTTGATGGTACTTCATCATCACAATTACAATCACAACAAACAACGGGAATCATTGAACCACCCCAACAATATTTAGACCCTCAAACCGGTATAATTTATGTTGATCCAATTCAACAACAACAATATTTACAACAACAACAACAATTACAATTACAACAAAATCCAACTGGGTTTTATCAACAACAATCTCAACAATTCCCACAACAAACTGGGTTTCAACAACCACAACAAACTGGTATTTTTAATCAGCAACAACAACCTTTTCAGACTGGTGGTGTAGCGCCACAAAGGACTGGTATTGATAAGAATCAATTATTATCCTTATATAATACAGGATCTCAACAACAACAACAACAACAACAACAAACAGGATTTTCCCAAGGATTCCCACAACAACCTCAACAGACAGGATTTCAACAACAGCCTCAACAAGGTTATCAATTTGGTGGGTTTAATGGATATAATTATCAGTGATTGTATAAATTAGAAAAGTAAACATTTGATTTCAGAATAAAAGAAAGTGAATTTGTGTATTACTTTGTTCTTTACGTGATATTTCCATACATAAATCAAAAAAGAAATCTACTCATCATAGAATAATAAAATTCAATCGCTTGAACTACTAATCAAAATCAATTTAATAAATTAACCCAGGTTTCAAAATGGACATAGCCTGTCAACTTCTGTTTATCATACCAAGTCTCAGTTATCTCTCACAGGTGCTCCCAGAGGAAATTTATCTTTTTCAACAGTGAAGATCAATCAATCTAAAATACCCAAAGTCTTTAAACAGGTAACTGCAGAGTACAACGCAAACATATAGAGGCTTTTGGGATACACTTCGAAGATCAGGCCTTAGTAAGTAAACTTGGTAACTTTGATGATTTCTGACGATACAAATGGATCTAATATCGAACTCCCTTTTTTTCTTTTTTCCAGATCCCCTTACTTGGACATGTACCTTGACTTCTGACTATCTCATCTCTCTTCAATAATCAAATGAACATCAGAAATTAATTCTTCTCTCTTTCCAATTTGAAATTCATACAATGGTCATTTGTGACTCCAAACGGTTTAGTTTTGAAGTAACAGTGGTAGAAAATCCAGAATATTATAAAATGTTTAGAGTTGCACAAATTAATAAGATCATGACCGCTAAAGCTGCTCAAAGTGATGTATTTTATGTATGATTAATGGTTATTGTTTATAATTCTAATTGCCGCTATGAAGGATTTTCTTATATGGGTTGATCTATATTGTTTTACCTAATTTTAATATCGTGGTTGTTTATCATGTATTGATTATTATTATCTACAAAACGAAAATAAAATTTGAATAACAAGGTTCAGGATCACTAGATATAGACCAAATCGACAATATTATATCGATTATGGAGATCTATATAGCTAACCTATAGGATATATATATTAATTATATACTGATAATTATATCATATGACAATATTAAAGTTAAAGCAATATATGTCGAACAGACTAACAATATCAGGTATGCTTCCAGTAATTAAGTAATTGATAAAAAAACGTATGACACTCTAAGATACCAATACTCAAAGATTTCATGGTTAAAATTAAATATTAAAAATTAAAATTGATTTTGTGGGATATTTGTGAGTGTAAATATTATATTTCGACGGCGGTTAAATTTTAAAACATAATGTATTTACACAAAAAGGAATTAATATTACATAATACATAATACATAATTAAAATAATATAATTTAATCCGTACAGGAATAAACGAAAAGACGCGATCAATTTTGAAAATATCAACAACTAATATTCTTTCATTTACTTTCACAACATTGTATTCACTAAAGAGCTGTTCAATTACTTTACAAAATGGTTTGTTTGATACCATGATTATTAAGATTACTATGATTATAAACTTTTGAGAGTGACATGCATACTAATCATCTATCTTTTGCCACCAAAATCAGGTAAAAAGGGACTTACATTAGAAGAAAAACGTACCAAATTATTACAATTTTTCATTAAAGATCATCTGTTCTATACTATTAAAGAAGTTGAATCATTAGGTGGGAAATTCACAGGGATTCATCCAATGCAAATTAAAGAAGTTTTGACAAGTTTAGTTGATGATGGATTAGTTAATTCAGAAAAATGTGGAGTTAGTATATTATTTTGGTGTTTTGAATATGATAAACAAAAAAAAGTTAAAGAAATGTTATCAAAAGAAGAACAAAAATTAGGAAATTTAAATAAACAATTCAATGAATTACAAGAAAAGATTAAATTTGAAGAATCTGTTAGAAAAATTGATGATGCGGAATTTAAAATGAATGAAATTTCTAGATTAACTAATATTAAAAAAGAATTAACAAATAAATTTGAATCATCAGGTTTTAATATGGAAAAAGTTGATGAAGTTCAAAAAAATTTACAAAATGAAATTGAAATTGGAGAAATTTGTACAGATAATATTGAATCAATGTTGTATCATTTTAAAAATTCAAATGGTATTGATAGGAAAGTATTCAATCAAGAATTAGGTATACCTGAAGAATTTAAAGATTTTCCAAATTTAAATGAATTTTTTGCAAAGTTAAAATGAGTTTTGGTGATTAATTGATATATAGCTAATTATATACTTACTAATTTGAATGATGTTTTGTTAACCAAGTCTTTTTAGTGAATCTAGTAGCAAACTAAAAACACAAAAACTCGTGTAGATATCAAAAGGGGATTCTATCAAAGTAGAATGTAAGGTTGACTATATAAAAGTGTCAAATTCAGTTTCAAAATGTCTAAAAGAGTATTGCTATACCCCATTCTAGAACACTATGATAATCTTATCTTTGTAGCACTAAATAGCGAGCACACTTGTGCACACAAACACCCTTATTATTTTTATCCCACAGATTGCGAATCTCAATTAAATTTTGTGTCAAAGGCGATGGGGATTGTCACGTGAATGGTGCTAAAAGATGATACAATAAGTAATTATAAATGAATAGATAGATAATAAGATGATCATATATAGAAAGAGTAAATAGTAGATATTCAATAAATAACAAGTGACTCATTTAATACGTCATTCTTATCAGTTACACAAAGTGTGATTCAGTGATTCAAGTGATCACGAATTTATTTTAAATTTTACGCGAATCTGCTTCTGAGTGTCACACGTATGTCACTGATTAGAAAATAACTAAAAACAAAATTATTTTAATGAGTAATTCAATCTTTTAACTTTTTATCTACACTAGACAAAGTCAGTGGTAACAAGTGGTAACAAGCTATACAACCAGACACGCTCATAGTTCCACACAGTCACTAAGGAAAGACTATTCTTCCCCCATTCTATCCATTAGTCACTATATATCCCTTTGATAGTGTGTGTTTTGCCTTATCAGGAAACCCAAACAAAGGTTAATCAACAGAGAGCTCCACTTTAAACAAGATCACCTTTGACCATCAAATAAAATCACATATTAATTCTATCATCACCATCTAAATCAACAACTGACAATAAGTGGCAATCAGTGGCAAATTCATCATCAAATCACATTCTTTCTTCCTATTAATCACCATTTCAACCACTTAAGGTTATTATTATCGCCTCCTTCAAAAATTATCAAAAAGTTATCAAAACATCAATATCTCATCAATATCTCATCAAATATCATTATTAAACATCATTAAACATCATTTAACAAAGAGCGCTACGTTCAAATAAGGTCATATACCAAAAAATGTCACAAATATCTCAATCTTCAACTAGTGCTGGTCATGGCACTAGTAATGAATTTGATACGAGGATTATTGGTGATTTTAAAATTGGTGCTGAAATAGGTAGAGGTAGTTTTGCAAATGTTTATAAAGGTGTTAACTTAACAAATCATAAACCTGTTGCTATAAAATCCATCATTAAGACAAAATTAAAGAATAAAAAATTAATGGAGAATTTAGAAATTGAAATATCTATATTAAAAGATTTAAAACATCCTCATATTGTGGAATTATTAGATTTTAAAAGAACAAATACTCATTTCCATTTAATGATGGAATATTGTTCATTGGGGGATTTATCATTTTTCATAAAAAAAAAGAATGATTTAATTAAAAAACATCCATTAGTTAAAACAATGTTTAATAAATATCCTTCACCTTCAGAAAATCATAATGGTTTAAATAAAATATTGGTTCTGAATTATTTAAAACAATTATCTTCTGCTTTACAATTCTTAAGAAGTAAAAATTTAGTTCATAGAGATATAAAACCACAAAATTTATTATTATCTCCACCAATTTTCCAACAAGAAAAATTTGATAATGAAGGTTTTGTTGGATTAAATGATTTACCAATCTTAAGAATTGCTGATTTTGGTTTTGCAAGATTTTTACCAAATACAAGTTTAGCTGAAACTTTATGTGGATCTCCTTTATATATGGCACCAGAAATTTTAAATTATCAAAAATATAATGCAAAAGCTGATTTATGGTCTGTTGGTGCTGTTTTATATGAAATGTCAGTGGGGAAACCTCCTTTTAAAGCTTCAAATCATTTAGAATTATTTAATAAAATTAAAAAATCAAAAGATAATATAAATTTCCCTGATTATGCTGAAGCTTATTTAGATCCACAAATTAAAAGATTAATTTGTTCTTTATTAAAATTTGAACCAACTGAAAGAATGGGATTTAATGAATTTTTCCAAGATGAAATTGTTAATTATGATTTAAATTCTTTAAATGATGATTCAGTTAATAAAAGTATTAATTTAGAACCTTCTCAAGTTGATGAAAATTTATTTATTTCAGAATATATTGGTAAAGGTGCAATTATAAATAATAATACTGGTAATGATATTCCAGAAGTTGAAATTCCTGATACAATTAATGAAGAAAGATCATTCAACCAAGTGAAGAAAACTCCAACTCCATCATTACCACCAGCACCACAAATTAAACAAATTTCTCAACGTGATATTCAACCAATAACTCAACAAGCTGTTTCAAATCTACAACGTCAACCTTCACAATCATCACAAGGTTCATCACAACAACAGCAACAACAAGTATCACAACAAAAACCAAATTTCAGATTTAATAATAAAGGTCAATCTTCAGATACTTATGTCGAAAAAGAATATGTTGTTGTGGAAAAAACTGCAGTCGAAGTCAATGCATTAGCTGATGAATTAGCAAATGCAGGTACTGGTGTTGGAGCAATTGCATTACCAAAAAATTACTATACACAAAATCGTCGTCGTTCATCAAGAACTTCATCTGGTGGTTCAAATTCAGGTCCTAGTGGTAGACGTCCTTCTTTTAATGATAGAAGAGTTTCAATTTCAATATCACCAACTAATGCTTTATCAAAAGCATTGGGTTTAGCTTCAACAAGATTGTTTGGAAATACAGCTGGTAGTAATTATAACAATAATTCAAATAATCATACATTATCTGTTTTGAATAATTCAAATAATTCATTTACAAATAATATTATTTTAAATTCTGCAAATCCAATATTAAATTATAATTCATATAAAGTGAATCTTAATAATGAAACAAATGAATCATCATCATCATCAAATAATATTACATTACAATTGGAGTCATTAGCAACCAAAGCTCATGTTATAAATTTATTTGCAGAAGTTAAATTCAGTCAACTAATTCCATCACCACCATCATCAAATTCATTTGCCGTGGAAGATGAAGATGATTTAACAACAAATGATGAAATTAATAATTTACCACCAGATGTTATTAAAAATTTAGCAGATGAAGCAGTTTTATTATATGTTAAAACTTTATCATTATTAGCAAAAGCTATGAATATAGCAAGTGAATGGTGGCATAATAGTGATAATAAACCTGATCAAAGATTAAATGAAATTGTTCAATGGGTTAGAGATCGTTTTAATGAAGTTTTAGAAAAAGCTGAATTTGTTAAATTAAAATTATTTGATGCAAATAAAAAATTAATTAAACAAAATGATGAACAAATTGACTATTTTACTTCAGCAAGTACTACAAATGAAGATAAAATATTTGCAGAAAGATTAATTTATGATCGTGCTTTAGAAATTGCTAAAAATACAGCAAAATCAGAAATGATGGGTAATGATTTATTAGGATGTGAATTAGCATATTCAACATCAATATGGATGTTGGAAGCTTTATTAGATCAAGATAATGATGTTGAAAAATTAGAAGATGGTGATAAAGAAATGGTTGAAAAATATATTGAAAGTATTTCAAATAGATTAAATTCTTTGAAGAAAAAATTGGAGAATCAAAAATAGTTTTTTAAGCAGGTCTTATATAAAATATTTAAACTAGTTATTTAAGGAGTTTATAAACATGGTTATTTTTTTTAAAATTTTATCAAAGTTGCAATTAGGTTATACACAAAGGGGGTTTTAAGGTTTTTATAAGGTTTTTATATATTATTAAGGATTAATAATTTTATCATTGGGTTTATATTTGGGAATATTTTTATGAGATTTATGAAACATATACATATTTAGGAAAACAAAAACATACAAACAAAATACTAAAAAAAACAAAAAAAACAAAAAAAAAGAAACTAGTACACAATAGTTACTAATTCATATTCAATTCATCTTGGTTTTTATATCCAATTTAGGTTAAATAAGCTGGTTTTTATAACAGCTATCAAATTTAAAAATCTGTGGATGAAAGCTGATTAATTTTTGATCAATTATACATAAAATATTGTTTGATTTTTTTATAAAGCTATATCGTTTCTAGTTTTGACACGGTTTAAATTGGTATCAATTATAAATTATATATCTTATATACATTAATATTATTGTTTTAGGGAAATAAGTCGATTGTAGTTTACAAAATTTAAAATTTATAAAATTATTTATCTAATTGTACATTCAATATATTTAACTTTTCTAATAACAAGTAAAATACCAATTAAGCTTTTGTTGCTTTATTTTTAGCTTCTAATAATTCTTTAAATCTTTCATTACCTTTAATATCTTTTGTTAAATCTAAAGCTCTACTCCAAACATCACCTTTTTGATAAAATTCATCTCTTTTGGATAAAAATTCCTTTTCAGCTTCTTTAGTCTTAGCAATATCAGATTCTTTTTTATTATTATAATCATCATAAAAATCATCTAATTGTTTCTCAGCTTCTTTTTTAGTTTCTTCAGCTTTTTTAGCATCAGCTTCATCTCTCTTGGAAATTTCTAAATTATAACGTTCTCTCCATTCTTTAACAGCTTCAGGTTCAGATTTTGGTCCTTTAGAAACAGGTTCTTGAAATTCTTCTTCTTCTTGTTCTTCTTCTTGTTCAACTTCTTTTTCTTCATCTTTTGAATCACCAACATCTGGGAATTGTTGTTCGAATTTTTTCAATTCATCATCTTGATCTTCCTTTAGGTATTCATCATCTTGTTCAGTTTTGAATTGTTCGGCATCATCACCTAATATTTCTTGTTCTCTTGAAAGGAAATCTTCATTAGAATCATCTTGTTGAACTTCAACATCGTTAATTTCTGGGAATTTATCAGCCATTGTGTAAAAAAGTTATATGTCTTAAATATATAGGGGTTTTGTCAAATCCGATAAGTAAAGATCCAAAGTTATTTATGTTTTCTTGAGCTTCTATTGTTTTGTATGTATAATCTAGTGATGTCTTTCTTTCCAAATGAATATCTAGACCTAGATCAGCCGGTGATTATTGTCAATTCAATTGTTTTCTGTTGGTGTCACTTTTGATGTTTGGTGTTCATTTGCTGATTCTCCAGGCCAATTTCGATCCAAATCTAAACTATGGCAGGCGCGAAATCCAGAAACTTTACCCGGTCTTTTGGGAATCTTGATTTAAACATCAACAAAACATAAACAAAGAAGAAGATCAAGAAGATCAAAAGGGTTCGCAAGAATCAAGTTGGTCTTATCTAAGTGATTGCCAAATGTCTTTCTCTGAACAGATCTTAAACAACAAATTTGATGCTCTTGAGGAAAGTCAGGACTCAATTGTCTCTACTTCTCAATGGGTTCTTTTCCATTATAGATATGCAGAAAGAATTGCTAATGAATGGGAACGTTATATAAATAAAGCACCAATTCCTAAAAAATTACCATTGTTATACATTTGTAATGAAGTCGTTCAACAATCTCGTGCCAAAAGGAAAACTGAATTCATTGATGCTTTCCAAAAAATCTTACCAAGATCTTTAACTCAAACTTATAAAGAAGTACCTGAAAATTTAAAGAAAAAAATTGTTAAAATTGTTAATATATGGAAAGAAAGAAGAATATTTCCTAAACCTATAGAAATCGATGGTGTTGCTGCTGTATCTTCTTCTTCTTCTTCGTCCAAGAATGGGACACCTGAAAACACAAATGCATCATTTGATGATAAATTAAAAGCAGTTTCAAATACTGGACAAAAATTTCAAAAACTTTATCATGAATTATTATTAAAATCTAATGGAGTTTTCAAAAAAGATGATATTAAAAACTTGAATAGTTTGAAAAAAACTATAAATGATAATATAATACAATTACAAGATATAACTGAAAGTATAGAAAATGAAGTTGATGAAATACATAAAAGAGATAAAGCAGTTGAAGAAAAACGTAAAGAAGTAGAAGCTAAACAGAAGGAAATAGAAGATCAAAAACTCAAAGACGAAATCAAGAGAATAGAAGAAGAAGCTAAAAGAATAGAGGAGGAAAGAATTAGAGAAGTAGAAGAAAATATGATTCCAACTTATGAAGAAGGTTCTGATTCTGATTCTGATTCTGATGCCCCAAAAAGAAAGATTGACAGTGATAGTGATAGTGAAGATGAAGTGGAAGATAAAGTTAAAGATGAAGAGAAAAACAAAGATAATATAGATGAAAATAAAGAAATTGAAAATAAAGAAGAAGAAAATGATAATGATGTCAATGGTAAAGAAAGTACATCTGAACAACCACCAACAAAAAAACTGCGATTTGCTGAATAGAAATCATACTGGCTAAATAGAATAGATATTATTACAAAATATAATGTTTGAAACGGAACTTAGAACCTGTATTATAGACAACCTCATTTTGAAACTTAATCATGGACATCCTACAAATCTACAACAAAGTGAATCAAATATTAAAACAATTTATACACACAACTTTATATTACTCATTTTTATTCTCAGATATTTCTTCTTCATCGCTACTATAAACGTCTCTTTTTTCATCCAATTTAACTTCTTTAACAAAAAACATCAAAATCAACATTGGTCCAATTAACCCTAGTGCAACATATCCAATTATTTGTATAGTTTCACGATAACTTAAAGATATTGCATCTCTTTCAATTGAACCTTTTTCATAACTCATTGCCACTTTTATAGATTTGAATATCTTTGTTGTATTTTTCCTTTCTTCTAATGGTAAATATTTATTTAATTTCTTAATTAAAATTTCATTCCAAATACCACCTGCAATTGCTGTACCTATTAAAGCACCAATTATTTGGAAGCAGAAAAAAATCCCTGTAGACATAGCTATACCATTTACACCAGCTATAGCTTGTATAGTTACTTGTAAAGCACATTGATAAAATGCTCTACCAACCCCAGTGAAAATTTCCATCATATATAATAATATAGTTCTTTCCATTACCCCATTACGATTCATAAAATACACTAATAAACCATGGCCAAGAATCAATAATGGAACACCAATAAATACATATACTTTTGTATGGTGTGTATATTTCATCAAAATCCCAGTTATAACACTTCCAATATCAATTGATATTTTTTTGGCATTATCAATTCTTGTAGCTTGACCTGCGGAATAATAACCACCAACTTGTAAAACTGTAGAGAAATAAACATTAAAAGCAGAGTTTTCCATTGCATCTAATGCAGTCATTATTAAAATCACAATGATTGTTCTTGAAGCTAATGATTGTGATGGGATGAAAGGTGATCTATTTCTCAATGGTTTATGTTTTGATGAAAAATTCCATATTATGAACCCTATAATGATGATGAATCCAATAGCAATCATTGCTATTAGTCTACCTTCTGACCATCTATATGGAGTAGCATTGCCAGTTAAGGTGAATGGTATAAAGAATAATGCAGTTCCTAAAACAAGTAATATACCACCAATAATATCAATTTCAAACCCCAAGATTTGGAGAAGACTCTTCCACCATGGTTGGTTCTTGTCTATATTTTCTAATATTTTAGGAGATTTTCTTAAACCTTTAGCTTTAGCCTTATGATCAATAATTATCATTATAGTAGTCAATGGTATAACACAAACACCTAAAACAATCGCAAAGCATCCATATGCCCATCTCCAAGTTGAATGTTCCAAAAAGGCATCTTGAATATAACTACCAGCATAAGTACTTGGAACACCAGAGATTGCATTAGGTAAAGTTGACCAAATACCACGATTTAAAAGATTTGTTGTATCAGCTAAAAAAACTTGTTGAAATAATTTGAATCCAATTCTACCAATTGCGAAAAACACTTCACCAACAATATATCCTGCACCATTCTTACATGTAGCGAAAAGAATATATGCTAATGAATAACATGAAACAGTTAATCCAAATCCTTCACCTCGACCTAATAAATCTGCTAATTTAGCCAAGATTGGATATCCACAAACTGCAGTGATTTTGTAAACAACTTGAGCTGTTGATATCAATGTATGATTATTGAACGATGACGTTGCATATGAACTTAATGCTACTGTGGAATCAGCAGCAAATGATTCAACAAATGTTGTGAAAATTAAAATGATGTAAGATATTATAATTAATTTTTTGGACCAAGCTTTTTGGAAATCACGAGAATGAAGATTATTTGAGGTAGGATTTGATTCATGATCTTCTGAGTTTTGTGTTTCATTCTTTGAAATATCTTCAATGGTTATATTTGATTTATTTTCCATCTTTTTTTCTTGATGTTGTAGTCCCTTAAACCACCGATGATGTAAATTAAGGAAATAGAAATAGTTTTATATCTTTGGTGTATGTTCAAAATGACAATCTTTCTGTCTCTGATAGTGACACAATGCCGTGGGTTGTCTCTTTATTAGCTACAAAGTACACCTTTGTTTCTTTTTTGATTAATTTTAATAGATTCTTCAGAAGGTTCAGCTATTATGCAAAATCTTGGTTTAGCCGTATCAAAGACACACAAAGTGACACAATTATGACCCTATCCCACTATATTCTCTCGATACATAACATGATACTTTAATAAAGTATCTAGAGTACGTTGGTTATTATGAGGCAGATGCACAAGCAGATTCCAGATCTGATCAAATCTGATCAAGTACAACGTTTATCCTTTAAAAAACTTATTTTTTCTGCCCGTTCTAGTAATTTATCCCCGGCATTTCACAATTAAGCTTAATTAATGAAGAATCTTATTAAAACAATAGGTAACCGCAAAACCCAAAGTTGGCACATAATAGAACGCTGAAAATTGGTTGTAATGGGTGGAAATTTGAAACTATTTCATACAAAAATAAAACCGATTAGTGTGTTTTTAGAAGTTGTTGTATAGCTTTGATTGAATCATACCAGTAATACCCTAATATCTTTGAGCGTCCCAACAAAACAACAAACCATAACAAACCCTTGTAGTTCCTAACAATCCATTACATCAATGATCAGATTACCAATGTATGTGTTTCCCTACAATTGGATACGTTCTTTGTTTAAACTGGTGATCTCTGGTAGTGTGGTAGTGTCAGTGCTTGGTAAGCGGCAACGCGACTTAACACAGTATATGGGTAGTTTAAACTTTAAAGCATAGAATCAAACAATTAAATATGCTACATCTAGTTCAATAGTAAATATCTAATTTGCAAATTTATGAATATTTTGTATGTATATAAGAACTAGAATCTCTTAAAACTAGTGTCAAATAAAGCCTTATTCATCTTCTCTAATCTTCTTCATCTTCTTCATCCAATTCTCCATCAGGATTGGCATTTAAATGAAGTAACTCCCATGGGTGATCATTATCACCACCAGTAATTGATCTAATGATTTTCAATTAAGCTTCATCAGATTTCTCATCGAAATAGTTTGAATAGGAGTTCCTATTGATCATATTTCAACAAAAAACACAAATTACGAATTTAAGTGAGTCGGAATTGGTTTAAGTTTATCCTCACTCAAACCAGAAAAGAAACCACCACCATCACCACCACCACCTAGCAAATACAGAAGTTCACATGCGAAACATCAGAAGGAAACAACCACAGTGTGACTATGACTTTATTTCATGCGAACCATAGTTTGCTAAATATTGAAGATATCATAAACAACTACAGTCAAACCGCGTAATCAACCATTTCCGAGGTCTTCGCGAATTTTTTCATCTTTGTGTTAACTACTATAGCTATGAATTATTCCCAACTCCTGGTAGTTAAGAGATTATCACCAACTCCTGGTAGTTAAGAGCTCGAC